ATATTAGAATGATTTCCGAAGATCATGTGACACTGAAGACTGGAGTAATGATGCTGAAAATTCAGCTTTACACCACAGGAATAAATTGCTTTTTAAAATATATAAGGGATTTCTTTCAAAAGCATTTTGAAATCTTACCGAACCCAAATTTTTTAACAGTATACATTTTGACTTCACACTCACATTAACCCTGATGACCCGCTTTCTTATCTACAGTATGTGCATTATGTGCATTATGTAAATGCTTGAATAATTCATGAATCAATGTAGACATCTTGAAGACGACAGACACACTTTTGATTTGCTGACCACATCAGCTTGAGTGAGGAGCAGCTGACAGGGTTGATTTTACTGCTGGAACTGAGAAAGAGAAAAATGCAAGTGCAAGATCAAAAACAGAACAGGAAATCCAACTTCTCTTAAAATAAACAATGCAGCAAAAAAGAATCACTAGCAGTTAAAGGGATGGTTAAATATTTTTTTCCCTTGAAACATGCATAGAGTATTTAGTGAAGAAGGCCTATCAATGTCCAAAAAAAGGCACCATAAACATATGACTCATGTACTGTATTCTGACTCGTCTCAAGTCAAACGATAGTTTTCTGTGAAACTGAAGTCAGTTTAAGTTGTTATCTGACAATATTTCACTTTGTCATACCTCTCAAATATCACACATGCTTGGGTAAATTCAAAACTTAGCACCTCAAGTTCTCTCTGAAAAAGCTTCATCCATTACATGACTACTTGCTTGAACACTAATTGCCATGAACTGGCTAAAGCATGTGACAACGAACCTTCATAAATCTCCATGCACTTCACAAGGTTAGAGAACAGCTGTGAATCGTGCCAATTCATTTTTCTGAACTATTATCATCTCTTAAACTAAATCACAGACAGAAAAATGAACAAATACATTCAGAGGACTAATGCTCAATCTTTCATACTCATGTAATATTAATGCCTGTAAGTGCAGAGGAGGAGAGAATGATAAGAGAAAGAGCACTAACCTCCTAATGATGCCTACTGTGCCCTACTTCTGAATGCTGTCAGATCTAAACCCCAACACATCTCAACTCAACACAATGATTTAATCAAACGCCTCCCAGGAGAGGAATCAGAAAACTATCACAGTCATATTTAGGAGATGCAATCCAAGAAATAACGAAGGAGGAGGCGAGGAAGAGGAATTACATAATTTCTCTTTAGCTACAGAGAGTCTGTGTGTGGGGGGGGGGATGGTGAGATCATGATATTCACTCTGACTCTAGTAAATTATACTTTTTTTCTTTTCTACTGGCAGTGACTGGAAATGACACACCCACATAATCACACACACACACACACACACACTCCTACATGCCTCACTCATAAACACACTCTGGCTCCAATCCATCCATGCAGTATTCCAATACGACGTCTCTCTTTGGCTCTTGCTGTCAGCTCTGATTAAAGAGGCTATAATCACTGCGACTCTGAAAATAGAAAGGCATCAGTGCTGTGTGTAGGTATAGAGACGGACGTCCTATAATAATCATCCATCAGAGTTTCTCAGCCAATGCAATTATTGCAGAATATCTGTGCCTGTATGTGTGAAAGCGCTTAGATCTCCTTTGACTACATCAGTGATTCTCAACTGGTGGGTTACAATCAAAAAATGGGTCACAGGTCTTGCAAAATGCAAATAATATAACTAACCATATAATCATGCACAGTTAGGATAGAAAATACTCCCCAATTAAACTTCATTGTCATTTGGTAGACGTTGTTCAAACAGGCAGAAGTCAAATGGGCAGGATGCATGATGCCCAAAATCTGAAAACGAAACCTTTCATGGTAAAAGAAAATACAACCTAGAAAACGTTAAATATGAGTTGAGGATTTGGTATTGTGTTGGGTCACCACTTGACATCTAAACATATAGCATATAGTACCCTGTTGAAAAAACCAGCATATGCTGGTTAGGTATGTTTTGACGCTGGGATGCTGGTCCTTTGCTGGTTTA